AAGTTGTTAATTCCCAGGGCCGAAATATGAGCGACCCACTGCGCCGGCCAAAACAGCGGCGTTAAGACTGATGGTGCTTTTCTGCCCAGGAATCTCCAGTCTGGCTTCCTTCTTGAGTCCGTAATAGGCAACTCTGCCTTCCCGGAGCTCCAAACCTCTGTCAGAAGGGGGACCAGTCCCGTTTACTCTGCACCACGAGCTGCCGTGCTGAGGTGCCGGCAAAACCGCTGAGCCAGCCACAAGAGTCATGCTGGCGACCCATGTGACTCCTCCACTGGGAATCTTCTGCTCTGTGAGCGACCAAATTTTGTCTGAAAGTGTGGCGTCCTCTGGTTCTCTGCGCTTTAACTGGGAGCTGCAATCCCGAGATGTTAGCGATCAGCCATCTTGGATCGTTCCCCGGAAATATTCTTTAGTCACCCATACTATCAACTATTATATGATTATATATAGAGGACTATATAAAGGGATTCTTCAAGACCTATTTCTATAAGCTAATATATGATTATGTAAAGGATTATATAAAAGGAAATAGCTGAGTAGTAACACTATAAAGTGAGATATTTCTCGAGCCCTAACTGTGCCTGGGTTCTGCTTAGCTCTCATTCCTCGGTGTCTATATGGGGGGGTTACCCACATACAATGAAAAAAGAATCAGCCCAATATCCCTGAGCAATGATTTGTTCTCCACCGTTGTATACTTTGGTGCCTATCACATCTGCTACTTTCAGGCATTTAGAAATCTCCAAAGATTTAAGGAATGGCAGTGGCTCGATGAAGCTTTCATACATTTTTCTCTTTTTGGCATTGTTTTTCACAATTATTCTCCTGAAGCCTACCCTGTCTGAATCCCACAGAGCACCAGGAGAGGAGCAGTGATTGTAGCTGCTTTGGGCATATTGTACATTAAGGCCAGTTTGCTGAAACTCCCACGATTATCACAGTCACCAACACATCTTCCAACACCATCACATTTCACATAAATGTCAAATGTGCCTCTATCAATGACATAAAAGTTGTCACCACTGTCACCTTGATCAATTACATGCTCCCCATCTTTGACCAATTTTTCAAACATGGCATCTGATACTTGAGACATCTGCTTCGGATCCAGATTCTTCAACAGCAGGTTGTCTTTGCAAGCCTCTTGCAATCTGTCTCTTTGATCATCAGTTTTTGGTTGTATAACCTTGGACTCTGCATCATCACATCCTTCATCAGGATTATAACCTTCTGCACATACTGAGGCATGCCTTGTGAATCGGTTTATTACAGGAGCATTGAACGCCCCTGCATCTGTGGGTGCCACCTCCTCCTCCTCCCTGTCCCCTGCTCTCTGCTGGCAGCAGAGAAACACCCACCCCCATGTGTCTAGTGCATCAGGCCAGAACCTTCTAAGCTCCTGTGTCCCTGCACAGTCAGAGGTGGCTCCCATTCCATACCCCTGTCCTAAAGCAGAGACAGGCCTTGTGCTTGGTCCAGGTCTCCTCCCCTTACCCACAGCCTCAGGGCCCTGGGCACTGATGGTCACCAGGTGCAGTGATGTTCACCACATGAAGACTGTGTGGAGTGGAAGCTCAGTGCCTATTTTTTTCATTTAATGGGGAAGGGCCCAGTGGCTGGGGGCAGAGTGGGACTCAAGGTCTCTGCCCAGTCTTCACCCCAGGCTAAGCCCTCCCCAGCAGCCAGGGGCTACTGGCCCCCCCCCCCCACCTCCCTCCTACTTCTGCCCACAGGTCCAGATGCCTCCATGTTTGCTGAGATTAGGATGTGCTGGGGATTCCTCAGTTGTGGGTGGATGAAGTGGCCACAGGGTTGAGCTGCATGGAGAGGAGATGTAGGGAGTAGACCCCATAAATGCTGAGGCAGGAACCAAAAGTTTCAGCCTATTTCCATATAAATAATGAAGAAGAAAGTAACTAGAAATATAACTATAGTAATTAGTTATTCATAGGTGATCTTAATTCCTTTACTAATGACTCTCAGGTGGGAAGTGTGAACCTGGGGTGACATTGTGAAATGAATGACCCTAAGGCAAGAGGCTCTCTGCCCTCTGTCACCCCCGCCCTCACCAGCGCTGGGAAAGCACCTGCTGTTTAGCCATCTAGGGAAGGAGATGCCCAAAATAGCTGAGACGTCTCCTTCCCCAGAGGAGTTAGGAGAAAACTCCACTTCTCCAAGCTCTTGTGGTAAGTGTGACATAGTAATCGCCCCATAAACTGCGTACCTCGACCACACCTCGGCTTTCCGTTGAAACTGCTCTCTGTAACCCTAACATGACAGGCAAGCAATCCAAACCCACGCCATTTTGGCCCCTGTGCCATTTTAAGACTTGTAGTAAGTAACTAAGGTCTGTAATTTCCACCCTACTCAGACAGTGTGTAAACTAATGCTTATCTTGACTTCTGTAAACCACTTAAGTAACAATCAGAATATACAAAGTCCCCTGGCCCTCGGAATGTCCAAAGCCCCTCACTCCCACCCCCGCCCAGGAGGTGGTTTATGGGCATAAAAGGTCTTGACACCCTCCTTTCGGGCCATGGGTTAGAGAGAGGCGAGTCGTCCATGGCGGCCAGCAATAAAGACCCTGTAATTAGGCCTAGACTTTGTCTCAGTGGTGACTTCGTGCTCGCTCGGTTACAACAGTAAGGCCTGGTGGCTGTCAGGCAGGCCCGCAGACATCCAGGGCTTAATTGTCTCTATGCGGTGCTGTGCTTCCGTGGTCACGTTCCATGTCTACTCTCATGTTCTATTTCTGTACCTGGTTCCTTTTTTCTTAGAAAAGATAGTCGGTAAGAGTAATATAAATTTTGACGTCTTCTTTCTTAACAAGTATGGAAAAGTGCTGACACATTATGCTCCTTACCCCACGTCTGCTAACGAATCCCCGAGTCCCCACCTGTATGCCACGCCTTATTTTACCCTGCCCCCAGTCACCAAACACTCAACCTTCCCTGCCTCCAGATTTGAACCTCAATAAAAACGAGAGCTTCCAGGCATTCGGTGTCACTGCTGGTCTCCGAGATTTGGGTAGCAGTGCACCCCTGGGCCCAAACTCTCTATGCTTTATGTCTGTGCCTTGTGGTCTTTTATTTCTACAATTTCTCGTCTCTGCACCAGCCAGGAGGGGCTCACAGAACCCTGTAGGGCTGGACCTTACAGGGGGTGCAGCCACAGAGTCAGGCCTGAGCAACCATCGATGGCTGTCCCAGAAAGTGAGCCCTGGACAGAAGCAGAAGCCGCCCTCAGCTCCTGTGCCCATGGACATCCAACCCTTCACAGATCTGAGTCTCACCTGGATTAGGCAAATATTTAGAAAGTGATGAAGGGACTCTGGGCCTGAGCTGCTTCAGTCTCTAGAGGGGCCTAGGGGTTGCCTGCAGGGGAGGAGGGGGCAGGAGAAGTTGCCTGAGGCTGAGAACCGAGGGGGAGAGGGAAACATCTGGAGGCCCTGGCTTTGCAGGATTCGGGGAGGAGGAGGAGGAGGAGGAGGAGGAGGAGGAGGAGCTGTGCCACATTTGTGGAGGTATTCACCCCTTCACATCTGTTTCTGAAAAATAAGTTTTTCTTGAATTTCTGCTTTCAACTAGTAAAAGAACTATGAAACAAGCACAATCCACAGAGTGGCAAGTACATTACAGAGAACTTCTCTTCCTGCACTACTTGAGAGTGAGCTGTCACACTGATGCCCCATCTTAATGATGCCACCTCATGCCCCATATTTTACTGTGGTTTCCTTGCAAACCAGGACACTCCCCAGATACCACAGTGCAAACTTCAAATTCAGTTTCACTCCAGACATTACGACCATCTCATGCTCAGACACCACTCCAGGTTCAGCAATTGTTCAAAGAATGTCTTTTATCACCAGGGAGCCGATGGATGTGGGCCTTTCCCACCTCCTTATTTTCCTAAATAGATACCTTATGGTGTCCTATTCATCCCACTGGGTGATCTGTATATTCCTGTAAATATGGAAAGTGATCTGATCGATGTGGTCATTTTCGTTGTATGTAAATAAAAAATCCTCACTAATGTGTAGGAAAACATTTTTATGCAGCATTTGGATTGTTTCATTTTTGCTATTTCAGATTTTGCACTGTGATGTAGAGTGAAATAGAAATCTTTCATCAACATTGAAAAGCATCCTGTACTGTACTAGAATATTTTATTGCTAACTTTTTGCTATGACAAAGGACAGCAGAGTAAGCAGTCTCGTACCTCCACACTCTGGGACATGTGTGGAGCCTGGAACTGACTCTGGGATTCCTGGTTAGTGGGATGAGCACAGCGTCCACTGTCCTCAAGGTCTCTGCCTGAATAAAAGTCACAGGAGTGATTCAATCTGGCCTCCTACTCACAGTGTAAGAGCTCTCTGATATTCCATTTCCTGTCCACCAGTTGGTAGAGACAGATTAAAACTCTGTCAGTAGGATAGGTATGCAGGGGCGTACTGATGTTATGCTGATTGTGTCAGATACATGAAAGCTTTCACAGGCTTCTTCAGCATCTCTGACCTGCTCATGGCATTTGCCCAAGACCTAGGTGCACTTTATTTATTGTTAGGAGTTCTTTATATATGCTGTTCTGATCTTTTGTCTATGGGGGAATAGAATAACTTACAAATAGAGATGTATCAGTGGTGAGAATTCCTTCTAATAGAATTGAACATGGTCAGCGCTGAAAAATGACAAGAAAAGCCACTACCAAGCGTGGAGTGGGCTGGGGTCAAAACAGAAAGCATCACCTTATGGAGGCAGAGACAGAGGCAGGAATATCTGCCAGTCCCCAGGGCCTCAGGACAGTGAAGACGGACAGCCAGGCTGCTTGTAAGTGAAGAGTGATCTTTAAAGTCCCTGTTGCCAAAAGGTATCTGGTAGTGCCCCTAGTTGTATTACTAAACATAACACAGCAGAAAAATGAAATTCCGTTAATTTTCTACTGGGTTATAAACAGAAATTCCAAAGTCAATCCTTATCTTTGAAAATAGACATCTTTATTTAACTGTAAGTATCACCTAATACATTACTAAATGAAATAATCATGAATCTAACACTTTCTCATATTAAATAATTAAAAATTTCTACAACAGGTAGTGTGGTTCATGTCTGTAATCCCAGAGAATTGGGAGGCCAAAGTGGGAGGATTGCTTGAGGCCAGGAGTTGAAGACCAGCCTGGGCAACATAGGAAGACCCAGTCTCTATCTAAAAAAAAAACAACTTGCCGGGCATGGTGGCATGCACCTGCAGTCCCAGCTATTCTAGAGGCTGAGTGTAGAGGATCACTTGAGCCCAGGAGATCATCACTTACTGAGATTACAGTGAGTGATGATTATGCCGCTTCCCTCCTATATGGTTGACAGAATCATAAAAGTAAAAAGGATTAAGAGAATTCTTGGTCAGTGCATGGAAAGGATCCCTGAGGTCTGAAGCCCAGCATGCGATTTTACTAGCAATACCGTTTGGAAGAATGAGGTCATACTTCAGAGAAGTGTCTGCTTTCCCACAGTCAATGAAGTAGAAGGAAAACGCTTTTTGCGATTTCTTGTCCAGTTATAACTTGTGCAGGAATTCCATCCATTAGCACCGAGAGAAAGTGGCAGAAGATGTGAAGAAAAATGGCTACTAGGACAATCACTGAAGGTAATGAACGGCATGAGAGGTTGGGTCTCCAATGCCCTCATCATCTGCTGAGGGCTGTGGGCTTGCTAAGGCTTGACCTCCTGGCTGTCCAGAAAGGCACAGTGGTGAGTAGACAGGCGGCCTTCCTGAGGGAGAGCGGTAGGCAGACCAGGCTAACAGGGGCTGCTTGGTGTCATCTTCCACCTTCAGAAAGAAGCGTTGGTTTAAGTGGCTGAGAAAAACCTGAGTCTGTTCTCCTGGGTAATCCCTCCCAGGCCCTCGCCATTTTGGAGCCTCTCCCCCAGATAAGGAGCAGGTTTTCCCTCCAACCCTCCCCCTGGCCCTGCAGCCTCGCAACCTCCTCCCTCCTTCACCACATCACAGAGCCAGCACAGGCCCTGCAGCCTCCCAACCTCCTCCCTCCTTCACCACATCACAGAGCCAGCCCAGGCCCTGCTACAGCCCACGGGGCTCAGAACTGAGGCTGGGAAAGAGGGGTCTGCACCGTCACTCAGGGCCTGCTCCTCCGTCTCACAGAAGGGTCTAGGGTCTAGATGACCTGGGGGAGCCCTGTCCAAAGAGTGTTCTCTGGATCCACGTTCCCTGCCCTTGGGTGGGCTTGCAGGCAAACTTGCTCTTTCCCCTTCACTCTCAGCCTCTCCTCACCCTGGGAGCTGCACCCATAGCTCTGAATGGAACTATCCCCGCCCTGCCCCATTCATTCCCTGCCAAGCTCAGGGGTGACCCTGGAACTCCAGCAGCAGCTCAGCTCCGTGTCTGCGTCCACTTTGCTCCAGGCAGAGCCTTCAGCTGGCTCAGGATCTGGAGCGTGCAGGAGGCGGGAGGGCAGGGGCGCTGCGACAGAGCCCTGCTGGCCATCCCATGGGTTCCAGGGGCTTGGCCTTTTCCTAAACCTCATCCTGGACAAGCTCTACTCTTCACCTTCCACCTTAACTGCTGGGACCAGAGCTGCTTTCTCTGGGAACGCAGCCTTTGGAATGGGGTGAACCCAGGCCCTCACAGCCCCTCATCCTGGGATTCCCCGAGATCACTCTTCTTAGCCTCCTTCAGGGATGCCCTTTCCCCTGACATCCTAGATGAAGCGGCCGTGCTGCTCCTCTCCTACTGTGCGGACGGCCCATGTCTGAGTTCCTGCTGCCTGCGGGCCACACACCACTACCCTTCCCAAATAGGAACCTGCTCTGAAACAGGCCTGAATTGGCTCAACAGACCCTGAGCCTCAGTATGGGCCCCTTCCTTTCCCTCCAGCCTCTGAAGATGCGAATCCATCAGAACTCATGGCTGAACTGCCCCAGTCATTGCCAACAAGTGACACAAGGTCTCATTCACCTGTCTCATGCCAGGATGGAAAGGTCCCCGCCATGGGAAGGTGGGGGACTCTGGGAATTCTCCTTTCCCATCCTCCCTCCTCACCCGTCTGCTTCTTGCTCCCCTCCCAATTCTGTCCACAGTACCTGTCACTCTAAAGACTCTCCTCAGATGACATATAGGGTGACACAGACAAGGATGAGAAGGAGGCTCCAGGGACTGAGGCTGGTGGCCATGGATTTGGGTTGGGCTGTACCTGGGGTCACGGTGGGTGATGCTGAAATGGAAACACAAGAGTGACAACCCTTGTCCGCCCCAATTCTTATGAGGACAGCTCCTTAGCTCCTGCCACCCCAGATCATCCTGCAAGGCAGAGGTTTTGTCCCCCTCTGCTATGGTGCAGCAGCTGTGACAGGTCCTGGGGCAGGAACAAAGAGGGGGTGTCCCCTGTCCTCAGAAAACTCACACAGTTGCTGAGGGCAGCAAGGTGACAGAACAGCTCACACTCTTGCTGTGGTGGAAGAAGAGCTGAAGCCCCAGGGCGGGGAAGGGAGGATCTCCGGGCTGGCATTGGAGGTGGTTTTCATGGATTTCCAGAAACACACCAAGGGAGAGGAAAGGAAAAGCAATCCTAGGAGGAGGGAAATATAAGGAGAAAGGTCTAGAAACACAATATGCCCATAGTTTTGAGGCTGGCGAGAAATCCACAGTGAGGGCAGCAGAAGCACGCGCAGTGAGGAAGAGGAGTCAGGAGGGAGAACGGAGAGGAGGATGGGAGAGTACAGGCGCCCCAAAAGGTGGTCCCCTATGAGGGGTCATGGTTTTACTCAAACTCACACACTCACACACACACACACACACACACCCACAAACACTGACACCCACTCACACCCATACACCTGCACGCACCACAGACACTGACAGACAAGGCTGTAACTTGACGGCATCTCCAGATGCTCCCGGTGCTCCCCTGTAGTCACCTGTGGGCTCCAGGTGACTCTTCTCCCTGCATATCAGGAAGTCCAGAAGCCAGCTCCTGCAGTCTCCTATGGAGACCTTCCTGAAGAGTTCGGTCAGTTCCCTGTCCTCCTCCCACTTCTCTTTCATCCGCCTGGCTCCAGCATGAACCACTGTCCACTTTCTGCTGTTTGAGTCAAAGAGGAGGAACTTCTGTCCATGAAATCTGAACTCCCAGGATGCTTTGCTGTGTCCATCGGCTTCACACTCACAAGACATCCTGGCCTGCATCATGACGGGTCCTGCTCCAATCAGAAAGAGGTCAGCTCTGGTCTTTACAAATTCTCTTCCCTGCCCCACATCCTCCTCCTCTGAGCCCCTTCTCATCTGGCTCTGTTGTCTCCTCCAAGCCCTGTCCTTGCTGCTGGGCTTCATGGAGGCCCCATGTCTAATGTCTTCTCCCCGCACTCAGTGCAGCCCCTGAGCCCACTCCCTTCTGTCCCCTGCTCCCTTCCGTCCTCGGTCTTCTCCACTCACCACTGGGGGTGAAATCCTCCAGCTCAATGCCAGGCAGTTCCAGTCTGAGCCTCTGCCCCACCTGGCTCAGCATTTCCAGTTGTCTTCCCCAGGCATCTGTGGCATTCAGCTGCTCTTCTAGGCAACCCACAGATAAGACTTTGTCACTGTCACAGTCATAGGAGAGGAAATTCTTCTGATCCACCTGGCCTTGGACCTCACACCACCGTTGTCCAGGTCTGGGCAGATGGATGACGGTGAAGTTGTACCAGAGAGAGTGAGAGTCTATGGGAAAAAAGAAAAAACACCAGAGAGTGTTGGGTGGGGGAAAGACCCAGACACTGTGACAGAAAGAGGGTTTCCTGCAGGGCTGGGCTGCCAGAGCATGGGCTGTCTTTGTGGGCAGTGGTCTCTGCCTGTGGAGGAACCATGGGTCCCCAGTGTGTCCATCTCCCCACTCTGCCCAGGCCTATACATACATTGGTCAGCACAGGACCTTGCCATGGAGGTGCCAGGCCAGCTACAGGAGGAAGGGCCTAGATGGCAGGATCTTCAGTAGCAGCCCAGGTGGACTGCGGGAGGTGGCAGAGTGTGGGAGCATGCCCTGAGGATGCTGGAGCATGGCACAGTGGGTATGATGTAGTCAACATTGGATAAGAGTGGGTTTATTTATTATGGGTAACAAGACACAGTAGGATCCCTGGAATGTGCCTCTCATCTGCTAGTAGGTTGCCCTTGCGATGCTGGAAAAAGACACAAAAACCCAGCTCTTAGGGGGCAGTTGTAGAGGAAGGAACAAAAGGCTGAGAGAAGCACCCATGCCAGAGCAGCTGCAGCATGAAAATCCAGAACAATGTCCGTCCTCTGTGCTCACGGGAAGCCTGGAGGACTCCTGTTTACCCAGCATATAAAGAAGGCCCTGGGAGAAGGCAGCAGACTGTCAAGAAGCTCAGGGGTGCCTGTTGCTGAAGCCCAGGGTTGGGGATAGTAGACGCTATTCCTGAAATGGGCTCCCAGCAGTAATGGGGATGGAAAATCCTGAAATAACAGATCTCAATTGGAGGCCGTCAACTGTCAGGAGGAAGGAGGGCGCCATGATGGAAATGATTAGGGAAGTCACAATGCCCTCTGGGACCTCAGCCATGCAAAGCCATGCCCATGGCTCATAGAACAAAGGGGTCCAAGATCCAAAAGAGATGGAGACTCCACGCGGCTACTGCTGGACTTAAATAATTACCAGAAACAAAGATAAAATGCAAGGATGGATGACCTGGAGCTGAAAGGAGTTACCTCAGGAAATAACCGATTTCCTTTGCTCAACTGTGACAACTGAGCCACAGCTCCGACCCAGAGTCCATGACTAGGAGAAGAGCCCAGAGCCCCTGGTGGGCCCCTTCAACCCACAGCAACTGCAGTGACTGCTTCAGCCTCCCACAGAGCCAGACGGGCATCCACTCTGCTAACTGTACACCAAGAAACAGCAAATGCCCAGACACGCCTAGTGGACACAGTATGTGACCCGACCTCCTTCCAGGGATCTGAAGCATTCGCTTGCTCCCCTGTTACTCATGAGGTGCATTTGGGGCAAAGTAACGGATGGACCCCTGTGTCAGGCCCCGTTAGAGGGATGTGCTGCATTCACAGATCCATTCGATGGTAATTTCACATTTCCTGGGTTTGTACCAGAAATGGACAGAGTTTGTAGTTAATTTAGTAATTATTACAGGTTGTGCTGGTCATATGGCCTCCCTGTCACTACTCAACCCTGCCCTTGTAGCTGGGGTGCAGCCATACACAGTCTGTGAATGAGGAGCGCGGCTGGCCCTGCCACTACAGCTATTTGACCCTGGACTCCCTAAGATTCCAGAGGCATGTGTGGTTGGAAAAGGTGCTATGTGGATTTCATGGCAATTCCCAACCGCAGAATCACAACTGAGTCCCCCAGCGCTCAGAATCAAGGCTGTGCCACTCACAGCTTCAAAATTTCCTCATTGAAAAGTGGCTCCAGGTGTGTCTCTGGGCCCTGGTGGAGATGGGCCTCTCTGTGGGAGGGCAGTGACCACACAGCCTCAGAGCTGCCATCACAGCATGTGCCCCTCACCCTCTAGGTCATTAGGAAGGTAGGCCTGGCTGTGAGAAGACTCAGGTGGTTCTCCTGGGACGGGCAGGAGCAGGGCCACAGGGAACCCAGAAGCTGCACAAGCAGTTGACCCCAATCCCAGACACCAGATGGCTGCACGACCTCACCCTCAGCTCACACCCGAGGCTTTAGGGAGAGTTGCTGATGGCCCTGGTGGATCATTGATGCCACTCAGCAGCAAAGGAGGGGAGAGTAGGTCCCGAACCATGGGACCCCCACTCACATCCATCACATCCACAACACCCAGAAGCCACAGGCAAGGTAGGACACATTTGTGACTCTTCAACTGACACCACTTGGAGATGACACTGTAGGGGAGGTGGCATCAATTACCAGGACACAGCAGGTGCCCTCATCTGGGGTCAGTAACCTAGGACAATGTCCACATCTGGTCTCCCTTTTATTTCCAGGTTACTTTGCCTGCTGTTGCTCTACAAAGGGACAGGACTTGACACAGAGACAGAGAACCCATGGCCGGCAATGACCACAGTGCCTTCAGCCTTTCCTTTCTAGAAAGGGTTTGGTGACTCCTGTCTGCACAGTGACTACCCTCTATGACCCTGGCTCCTCAGTAGGAAGAACAGGTGGGTCTGGGACCCGAGAGCAGAAGTGGGTGCCTCTCTTCACCAGTGTTCCCAGGGTCACTTTGGGGGAAATGGTGCTTCCCATCCCCCCTGCACTAGATTCTGCAGAAAGCATGGGGTGTGTTTCCTGGGATATGTCCTCAGGCAAGCGGGGAGAAGGTCCCAGTTCGTTGGGAGGTGCTAAGGGCCCCTTCATGGATGGGGAGGTGAGGGAGGCCTGTGGAATGACAGGGCTGGGCTGAGGTGGGGAGTGAGAGGATGTGACCTTGGATGTGGCAGTGGATGGTGAGGAAGGGGTGGGAAGTGTCTGCTGATCCCCTGGGTGCAGGTGAGTGTCTGTAGGAAAGCACAGGTGGAAGTTCCAGGGCAGGGAGCCCTGGGTATCCTGGAGGGTTTGTGTGGTGGAGAGTGGGTGAGAGCAGAGCAGGGCTGTGGCTGGTTGGGGTGTCTGTCATCGTGTCCCTGTGGACCCCCCCTTCACCCCTGTCCACACCCAGCTTGAATTCCAGGGGCTCTGGTGTTTCCTTCCCGACTGCGGGTGGGGCGGAGGGGCTGCACCAGGAATCCCTGCCCCACCTCACCCTCTGCAGCCCTCTTACTCCTCCTGTGATAACCTGCTTTTTGTCAGCTCAAACTATCTCTTTCTGGACTAAAAGCTGTTTAGGCTTTACGTTAGCTTCTTGAGCCGGACAGACTCCATCTTCGCTTCTCAATTTAGTTATTTTCCCATCATTAAGTATATAACTATAGTATGTAGCTGGGGCAGGCTGACACTGGGCACCTCCATGAATGCATTTGTTGATAAGAGGCCAAGTTAAGTGGCACCAGCAGAGCCTGGGAATGCAGGTGCAGTCTAGCGCCCAGAGCCCCCATTATCTATAAGTCCTGTCTTTCATGACAATTTTACCCCTCGCACCTCACACTGTTTTATTTCTCATGTACCAGTTTATCTTTTAACTTTTCGCTTACTCTGTTTTTGTGAAAAATTTGCTTCAGCTAGGATCCCCCTCCCTTTCAAAACTAGGATTTAAAAGACCGCCTTTTTCTTAGGTGCTGAGGGAATTCTGGGCATTAGCCACCTCTCGTTCGCCGGCATAATGAAGGCCTCATAATTGAATCTCAGAGTTTGACACATTCCTTGACTCGCTGGGGTAAAACACTCCACCCTCCTGACGTTCCTTTTCGGCCTTCTTGACAACCCTCCTGGCCTGGGACGCAGGCGGCAGCGGTAGGCAGCAGAGTAGGCGTAAAGGAGCCGCAGAAGGGAACTGAGGTAGAGCGCAGTCCTGGGAGATAGCGCAGGTCACCCCTCTTCTGACACCGCTGCCGTCCACAGCCGTGCTCCCCTCCAGCCCTCCCCTTGCCCGGAGGATTGGGCCCCGCCCCCCAACTCACCAGCCCATCCCGCATGGCGCCAGCCGGACAGCAGGAACAGAAGCAGGGGGCGCAGAAGGAACGCCAGGCTGGCGGTTGTTGCCATTGGGGTCCGGAGCGCAGAGGTAGAGTGTCGTGGTCAATGGGGTAGAGAGTCGTGGACCAGGCGGACACTGGGGGACGAATGGCCGGGCTTAGAATGCTCCGCCCCGTCCCGCCCACTCGCCGGACTCAGGGCCGCCCCTTCCAGCCCGCCCCCTTTGCTGGGAGTCCCTACTCCGGGGCCGGCTCCACGTGGGACGGGACACTTCCTGCTTTGACCGCCTCATTTAATTTTCGACATAGCATTTCTTATTACTCCAATGTAAATACTGACGCACAGGAAGGCGGAGAAACTTGCACGGGAATATTCAGTGGCCCTGGTGTGGTCCTGTCACCGCCGGTGCTGGAGACATTCGCCCTCCTTCCCCGGAGTCCTCGTCCTGGGCGGGCACCGTGCGCCCAGCCATCCCCGCACCGGCAGGCGCCCCCCGGGCAGGCGCCGCGCGCCCGGCCCGGCCCCGCCCCCCAGGCAGGCGCCCGTCGCCGGGTGCCCGGCCCCACCCCGCAGTCCCCGCTCCGCTCTGGCCCAGCCGCTTCCCCAGTCCAGAGCGGACCTTCTTTGCCTCTCCACTAAGAGCATGAAGAGGTCTTTGAGTATATTCTATATCCGTTTATGACTTCTGGAAAAACCGAAAAGAAAAAGCCCTAGTGGCCTACCCTGATCAATCATGTGATCACTTGTGTTTCCATGGAGAGCGGAAGCCAAGGGAGGGAGGAGCCTATGCATGCGTGGGGCTCACTTTGCTGCCCGCTGTGGGAAGTAAAGTTCCTTTTTAAAGTTTCCTTTCTTGTTAAAGAATAAGGGTGCTAATAACTCTGTTAGATCCTATGCTATGTGGCTGTTACATGCCATGCTTACAGGCAGTAGTACATTTTATGTCCTTGTACTTTAACCAAAATATCTGTGCTGGACATGCTCACAGACATGTCCCAGCTCTTCATTGCTTTTATCTGTTTAGAAAGGTTTTAAGTTGTTAGCCAATCGGTTTTTAGTTTAGATTGTGAGGACTAGCTCTAGCCAACGGAATCACACACCGCAGTAAGGATGACCCCAAATGCGTAAGGGATAAATTTGTGTGTTTTCCTTTATTCATTGTACTCTTCTGGCAAGATGGCTAGTTAGAGTACCCTTCCTGCAGACCTGGAAGTAAAAATTGCATTGCTGAAAGATCGTCTGTCTCGGTGCTGATTTTTCTTTGCATCACCAAGCATCTATTTCCAACACACACGCTTCTGTGGCCAACCACACCTAGGCCCATGGCTGCACCGCCCCTCTGCTCAGTCCCTGGATGGTCACTGCAGCCATCCTCAAAGGGGCAACCCGAGTGCATCCTTGTCTCAGTCACCATGGAACCATCTAGAACTGTGGGCAGAAGCCAGAGGGCGGTGTGGTTAACTCCCTAGGCACCGAGGAAGGAGAGCTAAGCAGTATCCTGGCACAATTAAGGCCTGAAGAATATTTCAGTTTATAGTGTTACTACTCAGTTAGTTTCCTTTATATAATCCTCTCTATATAATCATATATTAGTTCATAGAATGAGTGCCTGAAGAATATCTTCCCACTCAGTTATTTCCATACACACACACACATATATATATATATATAAAACTATATCCTAGTTCATAATCAGAGGAATGCCTAGAGCAGACACAGTGCAGAGCATGATTTAAGGGAAAAACAATTATACCAGGACAAGAACCTGTGGGTAACCCCCCTTTGGGCACTGAGGAAAGAGACCTAAGCAGAACCCTGGCACAGTTAAAGCTTGAAGAATATCTCAGTTTATAGTATTACTACTCAGTTATTTCCTTTTATATAATCATTTGTATAATCATATATTAGTTTATAGAATTAGGGCTTGAAGAATCCCTTTCTATAATCCTCTATATGTAGTCATATAATAGTTGATAGTATGAGTGCCTAAAGAATATTTCGCTACATATATATATATAATTATATCTTAGTTCATAATTGGAGGAATGCCTAGAGTGGACACAGTACAGAGCATGAATTAAGAAATAAGCAGCTTATCATTGGAGGGATGCCTAGAGCAGACACAGTACAGAGCATGATTTAAGGGAAAAACAGTTATACCAGGACAAGAACCCATGGCCCAGGAGGCAGTGTTCATTATCATAAAGATCCCTGCTGTATGGCAGGCTTGGAGCAAGAGCCACTCCTCCTGATGAAGGAGTTGTAGGACCTTGCTCCAGTTCTTGTGGAAGGCTGCCCTCAGAGCGGCAATCCCTCGAGCATCCGAGGGCTCAAAACCCCTCTGGATAATCAACCCTCGTGACTGTGAACTTTATCGGCTCTTGTTACCATGCTGCTCGAAAAGCATCTTCCTCCAGAACTCATTGGAAGCTGCCAGCAGGTGGCGGTAACTCTGACAGCTCTGTCACTGCTGTGTGACTTAAAGCATCCTCCTGTAAATCTTCTTAGAAGTAGCATGCCCATAGACAGAGGTATTGCACACTGTACCCTCTTCACTGTGCGTGGCCCACCTCCATGCCTCTGTGACTTAATCGAGGTGGACCCGTTACTGCACACGGCCCTTGCCTTGATGACCTAATGGGAATGGACCCCTTGCTGTGCACTGTCCACCTCCTAGCCTAGGTGACCTAACATGGGTGGACCCCTTGTTTTATTGCTCACGACCCTATCACTATCATTAAAGATGACTTCCCTCACTGCCCTGCCCCCTAACCTAAACACAATGAATACTCATGCTTCTGGACATTCAGGGCCTCACCTGACTCTGCTTATAGGTGGCATGCCCCCGCCCCCCCCAGCCCAGCTGCTTGTACTTCCTTGTCCTGTCTCTTTGTTTCTCATATCCTGCGCCTCAGCACAGCATAAGGGACACCCCACGACCCTGTGGGGCCCTCATCCCTACAGGGTGGTGGGGGGCCCAGTGGCCCCTGGCTGCAAGGGAGGGCTTTGCCTGGGGTGAGGACTGGGCAGAGGCTGTGAGTCCCACTTAGCCTGTTCCCCACTGAATGAGAAAAATAGGCACAGACCTTCAACTCCACACCGTCTTCATGTGGCGAGGACCTGCATCTGGTGACCATCAATCCCTAGGGCCCTGAGGCTGTGGGAAAGAGGAGGAGACCCGGACCAAGCTCAGGGGTTGTCTCTGCTTCAGGACAGAGTCACAGGATGGCAGCCACCTCTGTGACTGTACAGGGAAACAGGAGCCTAGAAAGTTCTGGCCTGATGCACTAGAGCCTCTGTGCAAGAGGGGCCATGTGGAGAGTGGTGTGGAGGACAGCAGGCACACAGGGGTGGGCAGTTCTCAGACTTGAGAGGGGCAGAGCTTGGTGGGTCCAGCGATCTGTGTGTGAGAAGAACCTCCCATGCACAAGGCTGGGGACAGGAGCTGGGTTAGTCCTGGGAGGAGGCCACTGGGAAGGCCCTGGAAGCCCCATCCCTGAGGCTGGGTGACCTGGGCCAGTGACTGGGGGAGCAGGAAGAAGGCAAAAGGTCTGCAGGAGATTCCCAGGCAGGACAGTCAGATGACAGGAGGAGGGGCCTCTGTGCACACCTGGGCCCTCTGCCTCGCCCCTACTGCAGGCATCTGGCCCCCAGACTCAGACCAGCCCAGGATGGGGATAGAAGCAGCACAAAGGTGACTGTCATGGGTGTGATCTAGAGACCATGTATTCAGACATGGAAGTCAGCTGACAACGTGGCTGAATAATCCTGTGCAAGGTTCCTCAGCTTTCTGGCATGGATGTCTACATGTGGAAAATGACAAATGCTACGAACACAGATGAAATGAGCAGATTCTATAAGGAACCTGTCCTTGCACGTGCTAAGGACCCAGGGCAGGTCTCCTATTTAAGCTGTGAGCCCTGCTGCCCTCCCTGAAGTCAGCAAATGCCAGGCCCACCCTGAGGAGATCTGGAGCTCTCAGCCCAGGCCGTGGCCGCTTCCTGGCCCTGGGAGTGCTGTGAGGGGGTGGAAATGAACGCAAGACCCACTCGTCAGGACTCAGGCATGTTTTCAGACCCACAGATGGTGATTTTACTCTCCGTCACCTGGTGAGGCTGATATGCTTTAAGGGTGGTTGGAGGCTGAGTGAATGAATGAGACAGCTGTGGGAGCGAATGGGGCTCAGAGAAATAGCACAGGAGCAGAGGGGAGCTGCAGTAATGGTTGTAACTCCCAGGGGCCTGAAGGTGGCAGCATTGAGGTTGGAGACCCCATCGCGGGCCCAAGTTAGTAAATTTTTTGCCTTTTTACATTTAAATTTTAATTTTATTTGAGACAGAGTCTCGCTCTGTCACCCAAACTGGAGTGCACTGGGATGATCTCAGCTCAGTGCAACCTCTGCCTCCTGGGCCTAAGCGATTCTCCTGCCTCAACTTCCTGAGTAGCTGGGATTGCAGGCGCCTGCCATTCTGCCCTGAAAAATTTTTGCAATTTTAATAGAGACAGGGTCTCACCATGTTGGCCAGGCTGGTTTTGAACTCCTGGCCTGAGGTGATCCGCCTGCCTTGGCCTCCCAATGTGCTGGAATTACAGGCATGAGCCACTGCGCCCAGACACAACTTGGAAATTTGAATGCCAACCTGGATGTCCACAAAGATTTTCCAAGGGGAAGTAACTTTGGTTTTCAACCAGTCTGGGAGTGCTTCATCAGGATAGAATCTTCTAGAAAATATAGTGTGATGACAGACAGGAAACTGATCTCTTCAGCAAACTGCTTGAGCCTAGGGTGCAACAGGGCCAGGAAAATCTTGCCTTTTAAGCAAAGAAGGAACGAGTCTGAAAGCAGGAATGGAAACAGGAATGGTAAGGGGCCAGGAGGAAAGAGAAGGAGAAAAGAAGGGTTGGGGTCTGAGAGGGAGCGGCCTGTCAATTCTGTAGAAAATCACATTTCTAGCAGTGCTTGCTTCAGGTCTGCAGAGGGAAAAGAACAACAGCGTGTTCACGGAACATTGGCTTTTAGACAAAATGATGCTAGAAGTATATTAAATCCATTTTCACTTCCTATCACTTCTATATTTATAGATCTCATAAAATCAGCTCACAGTCTTAATTATCATAGATATTTTAGTAAAATACCCCATCCCTCTCAGTTATTGGAAACACTTATGAATTCTTGGCTTTGACAATAAATAGCACATTGTAGAACAGCAATGATGTTTAAAAACTGAACTTGGCTGAATTAATCAGACATGGCAAGATATTTTTATGACTCTAACAGAAGCTTAATGAACAATGTCGAATAGATTTAAATACTTTTAAAATAATATATCTAAACCGTGTGAATTATGGTAACACTGCCTTTGAGAAGAAATCATCAATTTTGGAGTTTACATACAGGATGGCACCCTAGGAAAACATGAAAAAGTTAGGAGACTTGGACCTTTAAGAGTGGAAATGAGCAATGAAAATACACATTACCAGAGTCACCTCCCGGGACACCTAGACACTGACTTGTGATGTGAGCATTTTTCTGCTTGG